TTTTGTATATCTTCAATGTATTTCCTTTCTTCTCTAATACACTTTTTTTATAGTCGTTTACACAATACACTATTTTTGAATTAGATTAATGTTGCAGTTCAGAGAGCAAATGCAACACAATGTCTTGCAACATTTATCTGCAACATTAAATGTATCTTGGCAGAGTTTTATTTATAGTCACTCATTATTTACTTCGTACTTCGTTTGAAATTAATTTTAATTTTTTATTAAATTTTTCGTTTCAGAATTCATGGAGATGATGACTGGAGAATAGATTGCATTTGAATTTTATATAAAATTACTCAAATCATACCACAACCAATGTACTAATTGTACACAGAAATATTTATTTATGTTGTTAAGCTTTTTGATAATAAGTGCAATTTTTTTCAGTGTAAATAAAGTAATCAAATAATTAATTACCATGTATCAAATGAAATAAAATGTTAATAATAAAATTTTAAAATAATATTTCCTAATGAGATTTTATTATTTAATAGGGATTTTTTTTTAGTTAAAGCATCTGTAAATATATTCTACTGAAAACATATTTTCGATACAAAGGTTTATTCATTTTGTGGTTCCAAAGTAAAAGTAAAGTAAAAACCTTTATATGTTAATAGAGATTTTAACAATATGTTTATTTCAATATGTCGTTAAGTTCTTTTCACTAGGTGTAAAATAAAACATCATTGAAATAAACTTAACGCGTTATCTTAGCGCACATTCACATCATAATGAGGTCATTTATGCATCTGATAGAACTTTTATATGCTCTTACAAATTGAACTTAAAAATATATCACACAAAAAAATGAAATATATAATTGATATATTAAATCATTTATATACATTTCATATAACAATGACATATTCAATTATTAAAAACAAAGTTTGTGTTAAATATTTACTTTCTTTAGTGGCTTTGTTTACAGGTCAGCTGTTGTTTGTTTACATTTTACATATAAAACATAAGACACATATTTTAAAATTTAGGTAATTTCCCTTGTGGGAAATTTAGGTAGATTCGACATTTTTCACTTTAAATGAGTTGGTTAATTGCTAATGAGCTTATTTATAAGAAAAAAACGTTCTATGGTAAAACATCCTAATTAATGGCTATAAAACCGTCTAAATGAGACAGCGTGAATGTACTATAATCATCCTCATTAGTGGCTATAATGAGCAAAACCGCCTAAATGAGACAGTTTGAATGTTCTATTAGAGTGCTTTTGAGGTCATTTTCGATGACTTAAAGCACATTGCTTGCAATATCTGGAAACTGAAAGTATAAGACATTTGTAATTGAAATTTCGATTAAATTTTAACATCAATACATTATTTGAACCTTGTCATTAGGTGTGAAATACAGAATTCGAATCTCTTTCACGCGAGACATCTTATATTACTTATTATTACCTTATGGTCTTACATTAGTAATCGGATAGCTGTAGCGATCAGAACATGTATCAAAAATCCATAGATCAATTACGTATAATTGACGTTTTCATATGTAAGTTTTTGTACGATGCTTTTTCAAAGATTATCGGTTATTTCTGTGTTGTTGTATTGAAACAATATATAGTATCTGTTAGAAAAAGACCCTGTATATTACAAAAAATTCTATAAAAATGGAATATTTTTATGAGAATGCAATTGAACATAATACCTATATTTTTTTATTAAATTTTATTACCTAAAGTAATGATATTTTTTTAAAATTGTAAAATTATGAAATTCTTAAAATTCTTTTAAATTCATGAATACTCATACATATTTAAAAAAAAGTGATGTGAGTTCACTCCAAAAGTCATTATAATTTTAAATTTATGCTAAATTCACAGTATGTCCATTGTTTGCAGAATTGCATGAGTTTGTTGAGATTTACTTTACTGCAACATGAAGTAATAAATTTATTAAAGTAGAAAAACAAAATAATTTTTGGCATATTATAAAGACACGATCATGATCATAATTGAAATAAATAAACACGATCTATCAATATGATTTAATCGACATTCAATAACATCTATATTGTATTTCTTGAAAGATTTTCAACAGTTGCTCATATATCAAAAATGCGGAAGAGCTGGGATAAAGGGGTAACGTTGTCATAAGCGTAGTATTGGTTGAGCGATTAAATTGATGTAAGAGTATATTCTTAAAAGGAACGTTAGCATATATTAACTTAGTTTTGAAATTACAATAATAAAGATGGTTTTTTATTTATTTTTCACAAATTAAAAAAAAACTACGTTTAAATTACATGAAATTAACTAGCATAAGAAAGAAGAGTATTTTAAACAATGTGCAGATCAGTGCTGCTGAATGATGGATTATATCGAGTCTAGTACAATGACAAGCTGAACCATATATTGTGGGTGAGGCATGTACCAAGATTACCTACCAGTAAGCAACAATTAAATATAGTACAAAATATTGTAGAAATATTCACGATCACATACATTAATTTTTTTTACAAAAGTAATGAACTTGACCACATTCAACGGTCTGTCTCCTAGATAGATAAGTGTG